TTTATCTTCTTCTTCAGCTGGCGTCTCTCCTCGATAGCCTGCCACGTGTCTGGTGTAATCCACTCTTTCTTCTTTCTCGTCTTTTGCATCCCCAGACAGGTTTTACTCGCTTCATCAAATATGTTCTTCACTTGCTTCCACTGTTGATTTACAGTGTCTTCCTCTTCATCAATGCTTTGCTCGTCTATATTACTCAAGGCTTGGAACCTGTTCCTCAGCTGTAGGACAAAAGCATTCTTAGTCCTTTGGTCTTGTAATCTGCTGATGTCATATCTAGGAGTGCGTTGTTTGTTTGGTCCAGCTGCTCTCAGTTTCAATCTCACCTTTGCAGTCACAAGATGGTGATCGCTGCTTGCATCAGCCCCTCTTCTTACTCTTACGTCAAGCAGGGAGATGCGCCACATGCTGTTAACCATTAGGTGGTCTATTTGGTTTTGATCCCGCCCATTTGGGGATGTCCAGGTGAGTTTGTGAATGTTGCGATGCGGGAATAAGGTTCCGCCGATGATCATGTTATTAAATGCACACCATTCTACCAGCCTCTCTTCATTGTCATTCTGCACTCCACATCCTTCTTTTCCCATGACTCTTTCAAAATTCAAGTTGTCTGAGCCCACCTTGGCGTTAAGATCACCCATCACCAGCAGGAGGTCTCTACAATACAACTTATTACCAATTAAATCATAAAAATTAGAACTTCTGAGAAAAAAAGGGATATCCAAGTTATAAAAGAAAGGGGAAAATTTCTTTTCAAAGATTGACAAAGGAGGAGTGAATTGTTTATAGGTTATGATTGGTTGACTACAACTTTAAATGTGATTGGCTTATTGAACCTTCCGATAACAAACTGTTAGATCACACTCGGCAAGTGAATTAGTGGAATATAGGAGCTTTTTAACCCAAACACAGTTGAGGAAATCGTCATTTTTATGATTAGACGCGTTGACAGTTTAAAGAATTCTTTAAATGTGACTCAAACCGGTTTCGTGTATTTCGTCCATGAACTCTTTGCTGGATCGATACTTCGGCACTTTTTATATATCCAATTCAACAAATGATTAAGAATTATTAAAAGTATGGTCGCTCTGTGCTGTATAGACCATTTTTTTCAAGCTTTGCAAAGAGATGAGTCTTGACATGCTTGTTGCAACTCAGTAGTATAAAATGGGGGCTACGGAACTCGTTATTGGGGATGAAGCCAAACATAAGGGTGTTTAAGTAGAGCAGTGAGATTATTGTCATGATAACCTTTAATGTAAAAAAATCATATCAACTTGTTGAGCAATAATTTAGAATTTTTCGATACCAGTTACAAGGGAACACGCGAGAAGGCGTGGAAGTATCGATCTTTGTCCTCAGCTGCTTTCACACAAGCCTCGACCGTACCTTGGATATTGTTCTTGTACTTTTTGAATTTTGCAAATACGGTTCTCATGGTCTTTTTACTTTTCCTTTTTACCTCCTTAAAACATCCCTGCTTTTCCCATTCTTAATAAAACAAATTGAACATTATCAGCGAAGCTGGAAGAGACACAATTTTTGGGGTCTAAAATAATTAATAATTCCACCCTTGTGTCATAGACTAAAATTTGACGCATTTATCTAGCTTAAATGTATAATAACAAGGCTACAGTCTTCTCACTACAGTATTTTCCAACGTATCCATCCTTGCAGTCACGCGTGTAGCTGTTGACTCCGTCAACACACGTTCCGCCATTGTAACACGGCACCTTTGCATCCAAACATTCGTCGATATCTGTATTTCAGTGTCACGATCTGTTAGCACCCTTGATTGAGATGAACTCTACTAAATTAGCTCTATGCCTTTGTTTTTCAGACTGCAAAATATGTTTTTTCTTTTCGAATCAGGCGAAATGTCCGATCAGGTAGCGACTAGGGCCATTCAAAACTTTCCAACGCTTTCGTACAATATTACAACCACGGCTGGTAACATATATTTTGGGTAAAAAAGCAACACTGCGACAACGCAGCACCCACTAAGTTAAATACAATGACATAGAAAGCTGAAGAGGAAACCTTGGGAATGCCGTCGTTGCCTTTTATCTAGTATACCCGGCCTTATGTGGTCTGCAAGCTCACGCATCCTCGCGTCGAAGTAGCTTCTTAAGCGGTTACATGTTTTCCAAGGACCCTATTTTTTTTTCCGCTACTGATACAGATATATTTAACATGCTTGTGTTTCTATCCAATTCTGGTAAAGGATAGTTAGAATCACAAATATTTGACTTTTAGTTCGCTCACATGCTATTTTACAGCTCAGTTACAAAAGTCAAAGAATACCTGTGGCCAACTTGTTCGTCCTGTAAATCCAAGCGTGCATTTCCATTCATAGCTTCCAGATGTGTTCTCACATTGTCCGCCATTTTTGCATGGGTTTGAGGTTTGGCACTCATAGATATCTACCCCAGAGAAAAAAATATGCAAAATGAAAATTATTTTGCACGTAAGGGGATTCCAGAAGGAGAGAGGGGTGAAGAGAATATTTGCTTGGTCACGCGTTTTAACGTATAGTTTTCTCCTTGGAATCCTCAAGAAAAGAGCATGTATAATAATTAACAATTTCTCGCAAGAAGGTGGAGTGAATTTTGTTGAACAATCTCCGAGACGGAATCGAGAAGATTATTGAACAATTATCATTGAGTCTAAGGCGAATATTTTTTTGATATAAAATTAAGGTAATTATCATAGCAATAAAAACATGAATTGAATTTATTTCTTTGCTTCCAACTTATCTCGCTTCAAGGACCAAAGGTACATTGTCTGGCACGCCAATCACATATTGAGAACAAGCTTTTTTTCCTTGTAAAAACTTTCCTCTTTTCTCCTCCAGAGACGTAAGATTTCGACAAACATTTGTTCATTTTTTTATTTTCCAAAACTTTCGAGTTCTGTTGGAAATTTGTTTTGTCGTTGACGTAAAGGACATTTTGCGCAAATTTTATTACAATTGCTTTGACTACTCGCAACCAATTTCCACTAAAATTAACAGATTTATATAACGAGAACAGTAACCAACAGCTCGTGTGCTCAAAAAGAGTGTTCGCTCGTCCCAGCGCTCCTTGGATGAGCAGTAATATCATAGAAGCTAAGATTCAACGTCGAAAAGCGGAGGGAAAATGAAGACCTTACAAATGTCAGTCTTATCTAGCTGAGCTAAGAGAAAAAGGAACCATGTGACTTTTCTAATGAATGAACTCATAACTACTCATAACTACTCTGAACTACAACTGTTACTCTCATAGCAGAAAACAGCCACGATCAAAACATCTGTTTCAAGTAAGCAAGAAACTCTTGAACATCACAGGTACCCCAGTTTTGCCACCGCATTGAGATAAACAGAAATTAGCTAATGAGATGAGTATGTTTTTCATTAAGAAAATCGCCGATATTCGTTTAGACCTTGATAATCATGATGAACAACAAGCTTCCACAGACCGTGTTTCTAATGACATCGAAATTGATTCTCTACTCTTCAAGTTTAGTTCTCTGTCTCCAGAAGAAGTGCACGACCTGGTTCGAGCAGCCAGTAAGAAGTCTTGTGGCTTAGATCCAATTCCCACGAAGCTATTGTTGGACTGTTTAGATGTTCCCCTTCCAATCATCGCTAAGATGATCAATTACTCCTTAGAAAATGGTGACTTTCCCTCTGCATGGAAAAATGCTTTGGTTCTGCCTTTGCTCCAGAAAGATGGTTTGGAACCTATATTTAAAAATTATAGGCTGGTCAGTAATTTACAGTTTGTGTCCAAACTTGCTTAAAGTGCAGTTGCTAAACAACTCCATCATCGCATGGTAGCGAATGATTTATTTCCAGTGTTACAGTCTTTATACAGAAAGTTTCACACTACTGAAACCGCACTCTTGAAAGTGAAAAATTAAATTCTATGAAATATGAAAAAAACAGCATGTCACAATTCCTTTTTTTGCTAGACTTGAGTGCGACATTTGACACCATTGACCATTGTATTTTACTGGAGAGACTTAAATCTGGGTTTGGGATTCGTGATAGGCCACTGTCATGGTTTGCATCTTATCTAAGTAACAGATCCCAGCAAATACTCATTGATGGTTACCTCTCTATGAACTTTGAACTGACTTGTGGTGTCCCTCAGAGCTCGTGCCTTGGTTCATTATCGTTTGTATTGTATGCGAGCAAGATTTTTCCAATCGTGGACAAACATCTGCCTGGCACCCATTGTTATGCAAATGACAGCCAACTTTATTTGTCCTTCTGCCCCAATGCTAGTGTTAATTAACCAAGAGGTTGCTTTGGCTAGAATGGAAAGCTGTATTGATGATAATCTTAATTGGATGTTGAATGATAAATTGAAACTGAACGATGACAAGACTGAGTTTCTGATCATTGGTACATCCCAGCAATTCGCTAAAGTAACTATTTCCAGTCTCCGTGTTGGTAACTTAGCAATTACTCATGTGTCATCTGCGAGGAACCTGGGCTCATGGTTCGATGCAAAACTCACAATGGCGACTCACAGAACAAGAACATGCAACTCTGCCTCTTACTACTTGTACAATCTGAGGAGGATAAGAAAGTACCTGTCTAAAGAGAACACAAAAACTCTGGTCCATGCCTTTATCTCAAGCAGAATTGACTATTGCAATAGTTTATTGTATGGTGCTCCGGAATATCAAATTAACAAATTGCAACGTGTTTAACGCATGTGTGCTAGATTAATTTGCAATGAAAATAAATATTGTCACATTACTCCTTTATTGATGGAGTTGCACTGGTTACCTATTAAGTTAAGAATTGATTTTAAGATAGTATTAATTATTTTCAAGATTTTTAAGGGATAACCACCGTCTTATTTAAGTTCTTTAATTACACGAAAGCCCGAGTCAAGATATAATTTAAGGAATTCTAGTGATCAGACCTTATTCAGTTATCCTAGTTTTAAGTCTGAGGCAACACATGGTGACCGGGCATTCATGTTTGCGGCACCTAAGCTGTGGAATAATTTACCAAGGGATATAGGAGAATCTAGTTCTATTAATAGTTTTAAATCGAAGCTTAAGACGTTTCTTTTAAAGAAAGCATTTTATAATTGATAAAGTTTTTACAGTTATTTATTAATTGATAAATTTTTAAATAGAACATTTCAATTAATAATTAGTTATATGTTATATATCTTATTTATTATGAATCGCATTTAATTGTTATTTATATTCCAATTATCATCATTATCATTATTTTATTTTATCTTTAGTTTATTGTAATTATTATGTTACGGTGCATTTGAATATATACACATAGAATTTGCGCCTTAGAAGTCAATCAATTATTGTTATTATTATTATGTTTTGTCTCTGAACAATAACCGACCTGTTTCGCGATTTCGGCCTGTAAATCCAGGCTTGCATTTGCATTGATAGCTTCCAGCTGTGTCCTCGCATTGTCCGCCATTTTGGCATGGGTTTGAGGTTTGGCATTCATCAACATCTACCCCAAATGAAAAAAATGTAAAACCAAAATCAGTTTGCACGTAAAGGGACACGAGAAGAAGAGAGGGGTGGACACAATGTTTGCTTGGTTATGCACAGTTTAAGTCATGTTCACTGACCGTGTTCGCAGTTGGTTCCTTAGAATCCAACACCACAGGAGCATGTATAACCATCACCAGAAGGAATGCATGCAGCCCCATTCTGGCACGCTTTCAACTTATCGCAAGCATCAGCTACAAAAAATGAATGAATAGATAGTTATAAAAATTGATTTGCTTGGTAGTGAATGTAATTTAAAATCCTATAATTGCAGGCTATGGAAAAGTTTAAGAGTAATTAACTAAGCCAACCTTTTTCAATACATTTATCTGCTCTGCAGTTAAAGCCACGTTATAAAGTTGCATAGCAGCAATTCTTCCTCGGAAACGCCGAATATCCCCGTCTTGTGCACCCATCCGGACCTCGTCCTGAGTGGAAAGGTGGACTCTTCCAATACTAGATTGAGCGGTTTGTCTTCCATCCACCCACAATCTTACAATAACAGTATCATAGTCATAAGTAGAACCGACATAACTCCACTGGTTTAGTGGCAAACTACCACCGTTCAAATGTGGAGTGAATTAATAATTTCTGTGAGTGAAGCGAACGAACACCTGTCTTGACGCTATCTACAGATGGACACCCCACGCAGTGTTTCCCTTTTTGTAATTGAAGAGAGGACCACTTGCACCCGTATAATAAACCCAACATAACATGGTGATAGAGTACTGAACGGCCAATGCTCCATTACTTGGGAATTCGATGTAACTTAAAGAATTGCCTGCGAACATGTACGAGCCGCCGGAATTTCCTTCAGGGCCATCAGCTAAAGATACACCAACAGCAACTCCCTGGGGAACTCGATTTTTAATTTCCCTTGTTTGATACTTGCTGTTCAGGGGAAAGACGGCGACAGGATCTGGGACACTTACAACTGCAAGATAGACGATATGAATTAAAAATAAATTCGCTTAGTGGATGATAAAGAGGACTCTTGGGGGAATAATTTGGTCTGAGTGAGGTTAAAGACCTCCCCGGCTGCTCTTGCAAAAAGAAATCTTGAAGGGTACTAACTGTAGGCAATCGTGATCAAAAAACCTGTAGAACACTGATTTGAAAGATCACCTTGAACCTCTCCATGCTTTCAAACTTCTGCTGTTGAAATGAGAAACAATAATTGCAAACTAATTACAAACATAACTCTGCTATTGCAAGTTTTGTATTCTTTGTTTTACGATAAGACAGAATTTCTGCAAAGTTCGAGTTTGACAAGCCACTAGACAGTGGATGAAATGTAAGCTAGACAGTACTCTATTACATCCCGTTGACTTTATTACAAACTGGAAGTTTTTGGAATTATTTAAAAAAAAAAAACTTTTGTCCAGGATCTGAATTGGGCTTATGTAAGAGAAAATAGTGGAACAGACAGGGAGGCTTCTGGTCCAGGCTCTGAGATATGTCAATTTCACATAAGTTATTCATAGATGGTCGTAATCAGACCACGCACCTTATGCATGTGTCGCCGACGCCCTGAATTTCCCTCTCTGTCCCATTATTTTCTCTTGGCTAAGGTTATTTGTCATAAAAATTAGTTATCATTCTTTCACCAGCCCCACGACCCAAAGTGTTTTTCTTTGGGCTTTGAAAATATCTCACTCATCACAGATGAGTTTGCGGGAAGCTTGTAAGAATTCTCTAAAAGTAATTGACAACTTTACCTTTTCAAAGGCAGCACGTTTAACTCGTGGAAAACAGCGATGAACTGGTAACGCCTAACTTCCCTTAAACGCTTTCATTACCAATCCGTTTTAGCTCATATTATGGGCTCTTGATTATCCCTAAATCGAAATGAAGGCGAACAATACCGAAGTTATTTCTATTTCTAAAATCAGCATTGACAAAAATACATCTACATTAAGCGTTATTCATTCTATCCAAGGGTAATTAGTCCTCTTTGATCAAACGCTGAACACCAGGACTCAAATACTTGTTTCATTAAGCACGAATTAAAGATGCCGCCAAACAGTAAGAAAATACTGTTAAAGGGCAAGTCTGTTATAAAACCGCTAAGGAAATATCATAACGCAGATGGATGGTTTCTCGCAGGGAATTAGCGTAGAACATCTGGAACCATAAAAAAGGTCAACCTCAAGGCGAAATTGTGACTTATCCTGTATGTTAAAGATATTTTTCTTTTAAATAATTTATTTTAACTAAAATATCCGTTACGTAAAGTTTAATTAAAGCACTCAGTATCTTTTTCCTATTGTGTTTTTACCAAGCAGCTCGAATTTTCTCATCACCAGTACCGTCATGGGAGAAAACATAAAATGTTTGAAAAATTGTGACAAATATTGCTCCCAAATATGTAAACGCACCACGTTGATTCAGGTGGTCAAGTAATTTGTTTGTTTTCGACACGATATAAAAGAGCAAAACAAACCCAAAGATTAGATATCAGAAAGTTTAAAAAACCACGACGACAACGGCAAAGGGAACGTCCCTGGAAAAAAGGTTTAATGAGCAGAACAATGGTTGTGCACGTGCGTTATAAATCTTTGTAAATGTCTTTGCCTTCCCCTCAAAACAACAACGTGAAATGACCAAACTTAACGTTGTCTGGAGAACGTAAACGACGACGGCTATTTTTTATAATTTCTATTTATAATTTAACGCTGAGTTCCATATGCAGTTTCGGGTTGGTTTGGAAAGAGAGAAACAAACTAAATGACTCTAAGTTCATTTTTTGAACCGACGGCGTCGCTTTTGTACAAGAATTCTCAGGTAAGCTAGTCATAATTGCTTTGTTAGTATTCTTCCACTTGACTATAGGAAAGTTCAGCGACGGAAACTCTCAGCTAAACTTGACGAGAACTTTGCATACTTTGAGACATCATACCACTGTGGCTTAATAGGAACCAGAGAGGACAAGCGCGCGTAACGTAGAAGCCTTTGACTTTTATAACATTTCAACCAAAAATGTTTGTTGACCGTTATAGTATTGAAAAGTAAATGAACTTAACCTGAACATGCTATATAGATGCGTGCTCTCTTAATAATAATTGGTAAAGACCAAAATAAGATCAGGCCTTATTGGACGGGTAGCAGTAGTCTATAAATAAGAATTGTAGTTTCAAGTGAGCAAACTGGCTATTGTAAACTCTCCGATCTTTACTAACACGTCTCCATTGAAAAACAGTCAGTTTATCAAACCAAGAAAACAAAGATTTTCTAACCTTTCTAAAAAGGATGGAATGATTCAGGAACTTAAACTAATATTTTGCCCCTTATAATTTGCATAGCCTATCATTGCAAAGCAAGAGGACTTAAATAGGATTTGGTTAGCTCTAAAATAAAGTTTTACCTGCAATCAGAGATGCTCAGTCAGTTGGTTCGAAAAAAATGAGCTCCTCGTTGGGAAACAGCTCTGCAATAGAAACAAGGTCTTCAATTGCCTCGAGGCGCTGTACAGAAAATCGTCTCTTTCGATTGCATTTAAGAACAAGTCTCTGTAAGAATCAAACATCTTGGGAAATGAAAATTTTCAACTCCCCTTCAAATTTTGCATGCAGTTAGGCATGGTAACAACGACTGCTTGTTCGAGGCCTGGGGCCTCATTTTCATACAAAAACGTCGCAAAAAAAGAGTGAAATGTTTATTTCTCTATCTCAAGCTAAATACATCATTGCAAATTGGTACTTCTACCATACATAGTGACATCATTCGTCTTCGCTTTGATTTATTCAATTTTCCCTGAGAGTGAATGTAAACACACCAGTAGATTATTCATCTTGGTACACTTTCGGTCATTTTTGTTATCGAGTAAAACAGGGAAAACGTTTATCTGAATTTCTCCAAAAGTACACCGATTCTGGAACTGAAACTACCCACCCAGCTGGTTATAATATTCTAGAGTAGACCAATGGAGATCGATCTTACTAATTTTCTCCATCAGTTGCGAGTTTTTGCGGCTCGCATTGGCTAAAGTCCTTCAGCACTACCAATAATAAAAGGACTTATGTTTGATGCTTAATGGAAAAGTTGAGCCGGAACAATAGACCCTTTCTTGATACAGGGCAAGTAAGTGGCAGAGAAAACAGAAAAATTAAAGGCTTTATCGAGACATTTTCTAGGGGTTATGATAGCGGTGATTTAAAAGGCTTCCGAGCAAACTTTGAAGTAATTTCTTATAGAAAGCGCCTTAGAAAACAGACTTTTCTACTCTGTGTAATAACTGCGTAATAAATACGACTAAAATTTTTAGTAATCAGTTATGCATTCGATGCAAAACAACGTGTAGTACTGTGCATGTCGTAGTCATGAAAGAAATGTGTGCGGTGTCGATAATCATGTAGATAAATCTGACCTCTAAGTTATCAGAGTCTTGGCAAGGAATGTATCCTTACTGAATCGCAATATTTTCCTTTCTCTTTGATCGAGAATACTCGGATAAGCGAGACAGGGTAGAGTAACAACCCCGATAGAGATGAAGACCACTAAATGTGCAGAAATTCCTGATAGAAGACAACAGTGAGCTTTAGTTTTTGGGCTTTTGTAACCTGGTTATCAAACTTTTGTTTCTTCATGGTCTGAGAGACAACGTGATAAATCGTATCTCATTTAATCAAACTGTTGGCTATCATCATCGACTTGTTCTTGAGGGTGCAATTGCACATGATCGTAAAGTTACGGTGGGCATACGGTTTCAAGGTTCCCTTGGCTTTCAGCCTTTAAGGGATGTTTGCCTCATCATCACAACACATAGTGGAAAAGTTAGTTTCGCTGAAAGAAGTCGAAAAAACTATGGGACCTATTGGGTTTAGCACTGAAATTTTCTTGGCCTTGCCCGAGAATTGATTTTAATCTAAAAGTGAAAAAGAAGAGGAAACATTTTGGATGTGTATCATCGAGGAGCACAATGAGATGATGGCTATTACGGCTAACGCTTAAAATGTTAGCTATTTTACGGCTAACAGTTGCTTTCTTTCCGTCACGGAGAATAGAAACAATTTTAGCGTTAAGGGTTTCTTCGACTAACGACAAAATTTGTCAGTTTTTACGCCAACGGTTGACCACAACCCTCCAATAACATTAATAACATGGACTTTGGAAGATATCCTCTGTGGCGTAAAACAGTGGCTATAATGATTTAGTGCGTATTAACACTTGAGCTAACTTGAAGCAACCAAACATTGGCACGGATCGAAATGAGATACAACAGTGCAGCTTATTACGGCAAGGTGAGGAGGTAAGAATGATCTCTTTGTTTTGAGTGACATGTCTAACATGTTAAGTCTCCTCTTTGAACGCTTTATGTGAATCGAACGACGAAATTTCTATGTCCTTATTTTTCGGCTTGTGCGCGTCAATTATTTCTTCATACCACAGAACAATTTCGTTTGGGTCTATTGATAAGAATTCCTAATTTCCGCTGATAACCATTCCCGACCAACAATCATCAATAATCTTTTAAAAGAATTGCAACACTGATAGTTTTTCCACACACTTTATTGATCCCAGATAAAACCCCACGATTCGGATAAGCTGATACATTTCAGTTTCTTTCTACTCTTTCTAATCTTCGTTGCAACTTCTTGCTGATAACCAGGCCTGAGAGGGAAAAAAATGCAACGTGAACAAATAAACTTGTAATGTAGATCTAATGTGACACAAGCAAGTGTTTGTCACTGAAACTTTTCTTGACATC